GTAGTATACGCAACAATCATACTCACAACGACTGTAGCCAATCTGAATCATATGAGAGTCAAACTTCTTGTACCATTGCCGTGAAGACTGTTTAAGCCCGTATAAAGACTTCTTCAGTTGACACACAAGATTCTCTGTTCCTGGTTCCATAAACCCTTCTGGCTGCTCCATGAAAATCTGTTCCTCCAAATCACCATGAAAGAAAGCAGTCTTCACATCTAGCTGCTCTAACTCCAAATCAAAATTAGCTACCATTGCCAAAACAATCCTGATGGAAGTGTGTCTAACGACTGGAGAGAAAATTTCATCATAATCTACTCCCTTCCTCTGTGAGTATCCCTTTGCTACTAATCGAGCCTTGTATCTTTCTCCTTCCTTTTCTGACATTGCTTCTTTCTTTCTATACACCCACTTACACCCTCTCTGTTTCTTCCCCTCTGGAAGCTCCACCAAATCCCAAGTATCATTTTTATGCAGTGACTCAGTTTCCTCCGTTATAGCCTCTGTCCATTTACCTTTCTCCTGACTACCAATGGCATCCTGAAAAGTTATAGGATCGCTATTGCTGGTAATGAGTGCATAAGAAACCGAATCCTCAAATCCATACTTTGCTGGTGGTTTGGTAGTGCGACGTGGTCTATCTAAGGCAACACTATGATACTGCTCCACCTCTGACCCAGAACTATCTGCTCCCTGAGCATTAATTTCTCTGTTTATATTGTCTAGCTCTACTTGCACCACTTGGCTCTTACCTCTGGCCTGTCTAAATTTAGCTTCTCTTTATCTGTAGAAGTTTTAAGCATGAATGCTTCATCAAATACTGCATCCCTACTTATCACCATCTTCCTTGCCTCTGGATCCCAAATCTTGTATCCCTTTACACCTTTAACATAGCCCAGAAAAATGCATTTTCTTGATTTCGGATCAAGTTTGGATCGCTGATCACTAGATACATGCACATACGCCGGACAACCAAAGACTCTCAATTTAGAATAATCAACTTCATTACCTGTCCAAACTTCCTCTGCAACTTTCTCATCTAGTGCTGCTCGTGGTGATCTGTTTATGACATAACATGCCATGTTCACTACCTCTGCCCAAAAACTCTTCGAGAGCCCTGCATTCAGCCTCAAACATCTTGCCCGTTCCGCAATTGTTCTGTTCATCCTTTCCGCAACACCATTCTGTTGCGGTGTCTTGCGAACTGTATAGTGTCGCTGAATACCATGCTCTTCACAAAATCTCAGAAACTGTGAATCTGTGTACTCTGTACCGTTATCTGTCCTCAGATACTTAATTTTTCTGCCCATCTGGTTCTCTACTTCTGCTTTCCATAGTTTGAACTTGGCAAAGGCTTCAGACTTATACTTCATGAAATATACCCAAACTTTTCTAGAGAAGTCATCAATGAAAGTAATAAAGTACTGAGATCCACCTTTAGACAACTCCCTCACAGGTCCCCAAACATCTAAGTGCACATAATCAAGAATTCCCTCTGTCTTGTGCTTTCCCATCTTAAACTGTACTCTGGACTATTTTCCAAGTACACAGAACTTGCAGAAATTCAACTTGCATGATTTTACCCCCTTCAACAAATTTCTCTTGTGAAGCTCAACCATGCCACGTTGTCCTATATGCCCAGTCGCATATGCCATAGAAGAGTGTCATCTGACTCTGATTCTGCTGTAGCAACTCCACCTACAACTGTATCCCCGAGTAGTTTGTAGATATTCCCTACTAATTTCTGACCCTTCATCACAATCATAGCCCCTTTCTTCACTGTTAGAGCCCCACACTCTGACTTATAAGAGTAACCGTTTGTGTCTAAAGTGCCTAAAGAAATTAGATTCTTTTTCAACTCAGGTACATGCCTAACATTTTCCAAGGTCCTTATCACACCATCGAACATTTTAAATTTTATGGACCCCATTCCAATGACCTTACATGATACATCATTACCCATCAGAACAGATCCAAAATTTCCAGAACGATATGAATGAAACCAATCCCGGTGAGGACACATGTGATATGAACAGGCTGAATCAAATACCCAACAGTCATTTAATTTTACAGAATTACCTGCAGAGACTGATAACATATCTCCATCTCCAGAATCCGAGTCTCCTTCTGCAACACTAGCTGAGTTTGAGGACCCATCACCTTTCCTTTCATCATTCTGCTTCTTATTAGGACAGTCTCTCTTAAAGTGGGCCATCTGATGACATTTGTAGCACTTCACATTTTTCTTATTTTGATTTCTAGATTTTGATCTTGTGTTCCCTCTAAAAGAAACACCCCTGTCCTTCCTTCTCCCACGATCCTGGTAGCCCTTTACGATCAACCCTTCACCCTGTGAAGTTTCACCAGTACGCAGTTTCCGCTGGTTGTAGGCTAACAGAGCTGATGTGACTTCCTCCAATTCGAGAGTCTCTTTACCCCACGTCAACGTGGTCACCAGATGGTCGTACGAAGGAGGCAGTGAGCACAACAAAATCATTGCCTTGTCTTCATCATCAAACTTGATTTCAAGCCTCAATAGATCGCTGATGATCTGATTGAACACATTGGTGTGTTGAATCAGATCCGTACTCTCCAACATCTTTAGCCCATACAGCCGCTGCTTTAGATGCAGTTTGTTCGTAAGAGACTTTGACATATAACGACTCTCCAATTTCTCCCAAACCTCCGCCAGAGACTCAACGTCCATGACATGATACATGATTTCGTCCGCCAAACAAAGCCGAATTGTACCAACTGCTCGCGCCTCGAGCTCTTCCCAATCGGCATCTGACGTACCCTCTGGTTTCTTCCCAGATAGTGCCTTCATCATCCCTTGCTGCGCCAACAAATCCTTCACCCTTCGCTGCCATAATCCGAAGTTCCCAGATCCGTCAAACTTCATCACATCAAATTTTGCAATCGAAGAACTCGCCATCTGAACCTGGCTCCGATACCAGTTGTTGGATTTTATGCGCAATATTAAAGAGATGAAAAACGGAAATCAACACAAGAATTTTACGTGGTTCGGCGATGTGCCTACGTCCACGAGAGCGAAGCGGAGATTTCTTTATTCTGTTATGAAAAATAGGGTTACAACATATTATTTATACTAACCCTAATCTGGGCCCATATAAAACTTTAAGGCCCGTACAGAAAATACCCCTGTACCGTACCGCGGGGACATTGCCCCCGCACCCCCAACCCATTCAGCATCCCTAACAACCAGACAATGAATTAAACCCGCGCAAGGTCGATGCCGTTCGATGCGCTCCGCGCCGGCATCGGCCCATTTGATCCAGGGCCTGTGTTCCACTCTATATGAGCCACATGTACAACAGAATGTTAGGCGTTTTTGGTGCTCGAATAAATCTGAGAGGTCAATAGTCGTCCAATATTGATGGACCAAATCACTTGGGCAAGAAATGACCAGGATTGAGCCTAGCCATTGTAGCTTATTATAAGAGCCCATTGAACTACTACTTATGAGAAACATATAACCGAATCGTGATGAAGGGAATGTCCCTATTGATCTTGAGTAGTATATCTTAAGACCCTGTTTGATCCACATTATTTGGCAAAAAATACATTCTTAAATATTGATTTGACATCATTTTAACTACATATTTTTCAATAAAATAATGCTACACGCAAATCCAAAATTTTTTCTTTTTTTTTAACCACACATTTCCCATTATTACACTATTCAAAAGTGCATTTTTATGAAAATAATGTGGCTCAAACAAGGGCTAAATTCGCATTGTTCAAAATACACCCCCAAGTCCGTCACAAATGCTCTGTGTGTTTATGAGTAAGAAATCCATTACTATAGAATATGCAGCATATTACAATATCCAAGGTAATGTTCTCAAAAACTTGTGATACAAGCTAAATGGAAACCCTAAAAAAAGGTTCTAACTAACCACTATGATCACAAATGAATATGAAAAGCCTTAGCACAAGTTGTGAGAGAAGCACAAAACATATACAAATACTAGCACCAGAAGGAACAAAGAGCATGATAACTATAAATGAAGATGCAATAGTTTATAGATGTTGCATATAAAATAGCATTGAGTGCTAATTGGGAGCGAGGTTCAACAAATCACAAGAAATAACAAACAGAAATTGGATTAGAGAAACAGATATGTCAATGAACCTTTTCTATAAGATCAAGAATATCTTGATTATCAACGAACTCTATGTAACTCCAGTCAATTTCTTCTTTGGTATACTCTTCTTGCTCCATCTTGAAAACATGCTGCCAAAATATATCAAATGTTATCTTACATCATATTTAATGCTTTCATTGACAGTACTTTTCAATTTTCATTTTTTAAAACATTAAAATTTCTAAGAGTGATGAACTAGAGCATATATCATATATAAACCTGATTGAAATGTTGCTGCAGTTTCTCATTGGTCAAATTAATACAGAGTTGCTCAAAGCTGCATGAAATCAATAAAGTTAATTGAAAAATCAAGAGTCAGTAGTGTGGAACTTCAGATTCTAAAAACTAATTTTTTATTTTTTTTTTGGAATAAACAACAATTGCATATAAGAGAACTATCTTGCATAATACGACGCATAATTTTCTTTTACAAGAAATATATAAATAATTGATTATTCAATGTACATAACTAAGATGCTGCAATCAATTTGACAAGTTATCTAAGCAAATAAAAAATGGTGATAGAACAAAACCATTCAACTCCATAGGCAGCTATTGGATAGAAAAATGTTTTTTATGCAGTATTCTCCAAGATATTGACCTCTGTTATGATGAAAACAAAGCATACCGGTTAAGCACCTGTTTGTCTTGAAACTCTCAAAGCCATAAATATCCAGAACACCAATTAAAAATTTTGAATCAGGATCTTGGCCAATAGAATTGTTAATCTTGTTGACAAGCCTAAATCAGAAAAAAAATAATAATAAAAAAAATAAAAATAAGCTCCATAGTCAAATGCAATTGATATCTAGCAATGAAGATGATTTAATAGATTGTCACACTTTGATTTCAACTAACCAATCAAACAATCTTGAATAGACAATTTTCGCCAAAGCATCTCTACTAATGGTAGCAGCATTTGGATCTAGACTTTTTGTTATAGACTCATCACGAGTTACTATGACACGTTTGCATAAGGAGTCTTCAAGTGACTTCTCATCACACCTATACAAGATTTTTAGATGTATAGTTTTTCTGTTGTCACTACAAAAACACAACTAAACAAGGGTACTTGGAGAAATGTAAAGTAGAAGAAAATCACTTACATAAAAAGCTCAGCTGCAGTTTTCAGATGGAATCGACACTGATCATCCTTGGGTTGTGACGCATCAGTTTCACTTTCCTTTGAGAACTCAATGTTACCCAAGTGAAGAATTGCAGCTACAACTCGAAAAATTGCATCCTGCCGATTGCAATATAAGCCCGAAGTTTGAAATTATCTTTGTAACCAAGAATGGCATATAACTAGTTATACCTGCTCATCAGAGCTGATCCCAACAACATCCATAGCCCTCCTTGTAGAAAGATATTCCTTGGAATCATCCACTCCATCCAGTTTGTAACAATTCGTCTGGTTCAAATAATGATACATCCTTGGATTTTCCAATTTGTATTTTTCTACATCCTATGGACAGACATGATGTGAAATAAGGATGCCAAAAATTGAAGTTCAGGTTCAAATATATACAGTGCCATGGTGTGACAGGCTTATATTCACCAGCTTTATTGCAGAACATAATGGATGACAAAGTAGACTATTTCAGGGACCCTAACTTAAGCAACAATTGAGACTGCATCAATTTAATCTGTTGGGTGGATGGTTACACAGATTTAGACACAAATGCATTACATTGCGTTGAAATATGATATATCAAAAAATAAATATGATTCTACTGTAAAAGATAGATGGTCCATATTGTAATACTTATCCCACGTATCTGAAAAGAATGCTGATTCCTCAATTGCCTAAGGTCCCAAAGTTCAGTAATGAAAATTAACTTCAATACGGCTAACCATCACAAGGACCTTGTATATGCAATTGGCATACAGACTACTAGACTAGGGTACAGGCTAATCAGTTGTCTCAACTCAATTACCAAGAAGGAGATTCTCTTAATGGTATTAGAATCTAAAAGTGAATATTATGAAATATTAAACTCCACATAGTCTACTTATTCACATAAAAAGGTTTATTTGATATCGATGGCCAAAATCTAATTTTACACTTTAAATAAGTAATATATTCAAACTTAAACAAAATGAGGACATACCAAATTACACTCAAGGAATAGGCATGAGAACTAACTATGTGGAGACCTTATCACTTGGTTCAAAATAGTCATCTCCATATTCAATTTGTATATGTTGGTCAAATCAACTTTCCACAACCAGTATGGGACAGTTTCGATGTCTTAAGAGCTTGACGAAATGTGAACTAGGGCATTCCAAGACTGCAGTGTTGCCTAATGATTGCCTTAGAAGCAGTGAGTCAATGCTTCCCAACTATCAAACACATTTGTGGATTTTTGGTTCCACAAACATATAAAAGCTGAAGAATAAGCTTGTGGTTAACATGGGATAACTATTTTGGGGCAAATCAAAATGGCCTCCTAATGCTTAATTTTGATGTTATCTGTCAATACCTCAAGTCACCTCTTGTTGGCAAGGGACTGGAGGGGCATATATAGTGGTCAAGTTTCAGAAGATTACCCTAGAAAAGCATGAGCAATAAAGAGGTGGCTTCATGTTAAAACCATCAGAAGTGTCAAGGAAAATTTCCATTAGATATCAAGACTATCAGTTTATGATGACATATCACACAAAATCATTATAATATTTCAAACTTTGGGAAACAAAAAGATTATATTAACTTTTGTATAATTCGGAGTAGGAACAGAGAATCATAGAGAATAAACACCATTAATCTTGGGATTTGCCGTATCCAATCCCAGTGAAGCAATGAATGTATGGCATTTGACAACTTCCAAATCAAGATGGATAGCCTGAACCCCAAAGTTCCCAATTTATGCAATAATTTTCCTTCAAAACCAATTCTTGATGCTGAATAAAATCATAACGCCACTGACTTATAGAAAGGATAACTTTTGGATATGGTTCTTATGGTATGCATTTTTATTTTAATAGTATAAATCAAATACATGGTGCTATTAGTTCAGCTGGTACATCATGAGAATCAAACATAGAACGGTTGAGAATTGGTAGCATCTACTAGTTCCATGTAACAACTACAGCTGGCTGGCACATTCTAAAAAAACAATATCCCCACAAATGTAAAGTACCTCCTGTGGTGCGGCACAAAGCATGTAAAAGCAATGATAGTTTCTTTCAGGATCAGACACTTGACAAACACGAGATCTTTCCAACAAATAAGTTCTGATTGCAGCACCAGAAATCTTCCCTATATTGTTGAACTGAAGCTCCACAAATTTGCCAAAGCGGCTGTCATGGAAAGCAGGAAAAACATTGATCAACAAATCAATCCAACCCCAGTGCAAAAGGTATTTTAAGTGAAACATAACTGACCTTGAATTGTTATTTCTGACAGTCTTTGCATTACCAAATGCCTCCAAAACAGGATTTGACTGACGGTAAGATAGTAAAATTAGGAAGAGTAAACAAATAGGTAGATGTGATTAAATACTGAAGATAACTTCAATCTCTTCCTTTCATTGTGTCTGTTGGGTTGGTTTCTTTTCTTTGGGGGGGGG